ACCAAACGAGGGTCAGAATGACCCACACGGTCGTGAAATAGTAGGGTTAAAATGTTGCCTAAAAATATGCGCCATTATATTAGACTTTACCTACTGAAATACAAGAAGAATATTAAATGTAGTTTTTTAAGAGATATTTCAAATAATATCAACTAGAGACTAAATATACTATAAAATAAAAATTATGCCGTTCGGGGAAAAAACGGCAAGTACACTGAAAATAAAATGTCGTAAAAGTGCTACGATAAACTCTGGTAGTCTTGGTTTTTGTACAATGTGCGAAACTTTCGTTCATAATACGAACACATTTTTCACAACGAAACAAGATTTTACGAACCATACGTAGATATAGCGAAAGGACTTTCGTAAGGCATTTTTTCAGTGCAATTTACGAAATCTTTCGTTTATTTTACGAAACACATTCGTAAATTACTGAACAAATCTCTGTACGAATAATTTTGTATATTGTAGGAAGGCATTCGTAATATTTACGTATGGTTTTAAATTTACGAAATCTACAATTCTGTATTCGTACAATTTAGTTAATACTTTCGTATAAAGTACTAATGCAGAAACATGTTTTTTAAATTCGTATAACATACGAATATTTTCGTACAATATACTCAATTACCGGCAGTTTAATATTTCATCTTATTTTTGTATTGTGTCATTGCGGAATTAATTGTTGGCTGCTGTGAAACGTATAATATAATTTTAAACGTTTTAAAAAGGGACTTTCTGGATAAAAAAACAATGCAAAATTAATCATTAAAGCTGTGGATATACTATGCTTTTAAGAATACAATGTTTTTAACATCGCCTACGCTGCGCCTTGCGCTGCAATGTGGGACTTGATAAATAGGCAATTTCATCAGTTACCTATAAACGGCAAGCCTAAGCCAGGAGCTCTACTTAATGTAATTAAAAGTAAGTACATGTATGACTTTCACTGAAACTTGCTTTTCAGGCGCCTTATAATTTTCATTTAATTTATAGTCGTCAAGAAAACAAACATCGATGAAGCTGCGAATCTGTCAAGTGCCTCTACATAAAAATATTGTAATTTTGAGGATAGCAAAACCAGTATTTTTTATATTCTTTCATATTTTATATCTTATTATACTTAGTTTTGTTGAGTTTGCATCAATATACTTTATTGAATGAAGCCTAAGCAATAAAAAATATTCAGTATAGAACCTATTCGTATACCTATAAATAAAAGACTTATGGCCTTATTCATAAAAAATAAAGTAGCTTTATAAATTGACGTTTTCATACATTTTTCAATTTATAAACCTTTTATAAGACTACTTTATTTTTTATGAATAAGGCCATTCAGTTTTATTATAGGTAAAATGACCTTTTTTATTAATTCTAAACTACAGTGTAGTCAGAAAATTCTTCTTCTTTCGTAGAACATATGATTGCTTTTATTATTAACACTATAAAAAACATGACTAAAATTATAGCACAACACTTTCATTATATTTTAATCAATAATGTTAAGCGTTTTTGCAAAACGATTTGTTAAACAAAAACGCCTAAAATTAACGATAAAAACAAACTAAAAGTGTTGTGTTATAATTCGTAATATGTTTTTTACAGTGTGGAGAATGAAAGCAAAGTCGCACATTCTACGAAACAAGCGCAGATTTTACGAAAGTAGTTTCGTTAAATATACGAATTATTTCTGTGCATTTTACAAAAATTTCATAAAAAAATACAGAAATAGTACGAATTTTTTCAGTAAATAATACGAAATTCGTTAGTAAATAGTACGAAATTCTTTAGTAAATAGTACTAAATTCCTTAGTAAATAGTGAGAATAAATTAGTAAAATGTACTAAAAATCTGATGCATCATATTTTCGTAGTATGTACGAAAACGGTCTCGTATAATCAACGAAAACTTTCGTGGCTCAAAATGACGAAAAATTTCGTAAGATTTACGGTTTTCGTTATATTTACGTAGATTTTATTTTCAGTGTAGTCATTCTAGAACTCTTTCCCTTTCATAATATTCATACTGCGTTCCCGACTTTTTTTATTCATCACATTTTGTTGCACAGTGTCGCTAAGAAATACTCCAATTAAAATTGCCTTAGTGCGAGTATGCAATATTCTCATGGTGCTCTTAAATGTAGTTTTGGAGACGCCTAATTTTTTATTGGCCAATGTTACGATATTTATTCTTCAAACGTGCAACTTTGTCATGAATAATTAAGTTAAAACAGTAGCAGTTTCCCATTGTTTATAGTAAAGTTCCGGATAAATTTCTGGCTCCACGAGCAAATGGGTTGATAGTGAAAACAATTTCAAGCAATCTTTCTAAATATGAACCAAATTGGACCATAAATGCGGGTTTTCCGAATAGTTCGGACCCCCGCGCCACCTATTGGCATATTTTTTTATGCAGTTTTCCTTTTTATTTAGGTAATATGTATTAAAAATATAAACGAAATTTTACCAAAAATGCAAGGTTTCGAAATATTTCGACCCCCGCGCCACCTTTCGGGCAAATTTTTTTTTAGCTGTTTCTTTCCACGGAAGTAATATGTGTACAATCTAAATATAAAAAAAAAAAAATAATGTAAAAAAAATAATTTTTAAAAACAAGCTTTTATTTAACCGGTACAATCAAAGGAATAAAATGAGGTAGTGTAACAAAAGATTTTTTAGCAAGAAAATTTTGTCAAAGCTGCACTAAAATGAATAAAATAAAATAAGTTAATGTCTCGTTAAAGTTACTAAAAGCCATTTAGTGAAAGGAGTTATTCAAACTCTAATGAAAATTACTAACAATTTGTACTAATTTACTTCGTTTTTAAAAAAGCTTGTCGCGCGAATAGCAAACCGGCATTTAAATATCTGCATACATATATATACTACATACATACCTAACCAACTATGCGTGTACGCTGAATAGTGGTTTTACGTTCTTTGGCAAATTACGCTCTGTTAGCCATAAATATTACTATTTTTTGACCGCCTTTGAATATAGACCCCTGGACCATATGGGGAATTCATTTATATTTTAAATTGCATTGTCATCGTGATTGGAACTATGCTGAAAATTTCAAGTCTCTAACTTGTCGGGAAGTCAGTTTAAAATCGATTGGAAATTTCCGCGATTTGCGCGGGATGACCAAGTTAAATAAAAGCTTATAAAAAAAATCGTATTTTGCAAATATCTCGAATCCTGCGCCACCTAGCGTACTAAATCAGCTATCGTATTGCATTTTTATCGGGTTCTCAGCTACGACGTCTGGGCCTGATTTTAAAAACACTTTCACACCGTACAGTGGTAGCCACACTTAACACCGTACAGTGGTAGAAATGGCCAATTTGGCGGCGTTTTAGTGAAATTTTAACTTTTCGAATCCCGCCGAATTTCTTTGTTTTTTTTTACAACTAACAAACCAACAGATTTAATGTTTTTTTGTTTTGTTTTGCTTTCAATATTCGCCCAGCTGTAGGCGTTCAAACTAAGGATATGTTTCAGCAAGTGTATTAATTATTTTCGCGCATATTTGCAGTACAATTTTTAATTTTCTAACTGTCTGTTTGGATTAGTGGTTTAATTGAAATTACTGTGTATGTGTTAAATTAAAAAAATATATATATGTTTGTGGCCCGTGCGTATAGTAAAGTGTTTTAGCATCTGTAACCCAATCTTCGGTGGAATAAAAGTTGGGTGGATTCGACAAAATTCGCCCCCGGAATTTGGTTTATTTTTTAGTATGATCAATTTTCTATTTTAAGTTGAAGAATTAAGTACAGGTTTTTGCATCTTTTTGTGGTTTGACTCTTTTTAGGTACAATTTCAGAGTCAAAACGCACCCTTTTTTTAGTTTGGCACAGTGAACTTGTACCAACAAACAAGTTTTTGGCTATCGAGAATCATGTATTTTGTATGATTGTATTATTGATCCCTCAAAGTATACGAATACAAAAATATTCAAAAAATATTACACCTAAATTTTGTTATTTTTTCGAAGTTTCGTAAAAAGTCTTCAAAAGGACGACCAAATCGTCAACCTGGCAACGCTGATCATAATACCAATTCTCTAGTATATCATTTGGCGCAAGGATATGTCCTTTGGAGTTTGGTTCGGTGCGTGAGGAAATCTTTTGACTGACACCCCCAGGCAAATGGCCACAAGTGACTATTTTAAGTACGATTCAGTCGCAGTTCACAACGTCCGGATATTTAAGTATATTCCAATATCTTTTGGGTAGCAACCAAACAACCGTTTGGGAGAGAGCTAAAGTGAGGAGACCAAAAACCTCGCGTGCGCTGGGTTTGAGTTTCTCCACGTTAAAACGCCTCCAAATGAAAACTACAACAATTCCGCGGATGAGACTCCATTCTTTTGTGTAAAGGACTGTGATGATTCTAGGGTATGCGCCTAGAATATCCAGACCCTTGATGGAGAAGGTGGCTCTGCCCGACTGGTTGATGTCCTCGTGAAGACGAAGGCTGACAACACCGCCATCCAAGAAATGCTATGGAATGGCAAGAAAGCAGGAAAAGCATAGAGCCTTGCGACGTCTACTACAGCTGCCACGTAAAGGAGCGCAATTTCGAAATGGCATTTGTAGCGGAAGAGAGACTCCGTGGCCAATGAGCTCAAGTTTATGCAAATTTTTATACTGAATATCGAGCTGGAATTTAAGACAGTACAGAATTTAATAACTACAAACAGAAACCAGTTGTTATAAAGATACGTAACAAGGAATTATATACTTACCTTAAATTCTCTGAAGCCGTTAAAATACATTTATATGCAGTTTTTTTACATGTATTTATATTTAAGTATATGGTTAAGTATGTATAATAAGTCATACATTTACTTTAAATTAACTAACAAATAAAGGTACATTTTGCGATTGCAAATTTTTCGTATTGAAGTTTTATAATTTACTTATTATTTATTTGGGTTTCTCATTCTTCCCTTTACATGCTATTAACTAGTTTTCCTCGTATTTTTACATATATCCTTAGACATTGCGCGATGTACAATAATCTGTAACCACATCCTTATCCTCCACCTGATCGATTAGCACCAATTCATACACGATAATAGTGCCAGCCATCTGATGAGTGCAAGGATATATTTATATATATGTATATATATTATTTTAGTTAATTCTTGTTATATACATACATATATATATGTATACATAAACTATGTAATAATAAATACTATTCACATGAAGCAGCCCAGGATGGAAATTGAGATTTTAAGATTATTTACAAAAGAAACGAAAATTATTTAATTAAAATAAATGCTTAAAAATATTATATGCATTGTAATAATATAAATTGAGCCCAGTATTTTTATAAAATTACTCAAAACTTTGATAGGAAACAATAAATACCTCCCTAAGGCCGCAAATGCTTCAAGCTTATTAATAAATTTAAATCTCAATTTCAACCTTTTTCTAACTGTTTCATTGAATAGTTATAAACTCGTAAATTTACTTACTTATGTACACATGTATGTATATACGAGTACAGTGGGTGTACACTAGGGTTAAGTGTTTTTTGTATGCATAAAAGTCTGCGGTGAGCCAAGAATAACCCGCAATTTTTACATTTTTATTGTATGCATGCGCTTTTGGATCATAAAGCTCTCGCGAATTTCCGAAAAAATAACAAAACATATACATACATACCTAACACTAAAAATACGAAACGGTTTCAAAACTTCTAAACGGTACCGAATGAAAAATTTCCTCAGGGCCTTAACCTACCGAAAAATTCCAAAAGGTCCCAAAAGCCCAAAAAAATCAAAGAAAAGCTCCAAAACGCAGTCATGAGGAATTCGGCAAAGTTCCTAAAAACCACGACCCGGGAGAAGGTGCCGAAAAAAACAACATGTTCCCTAAAAATCCCGAAAAAATTAAAAAAAAAAAAGAATTTCGATAATTTTCATAAAAACAAAATCTGAATTCTACTGAAGAAATCCCACGAAAATTTCGAAACTCTTCAAAGAGCCTTCAGGATCTGCAGCCAAGCGAAAAATCACGAATTGTTTCCAAAGATCCGAAATTTTCTATATAAAACTTCAAAAACGAAAATAAGATGCAGCTGTTGACAAAGTTCCGAAAAACCCCGAAACATCTGGTAAAGCTCCAGAGAGAATACCGAAAAAATCGCAAAATAAAACACGAAAATTCTGGAAGAGTTTCGAAAATATACTGAAGGTCCCGTTCAAAAAACCCAAATAAACAAGGAATTCGTAAAAAAACTTCGTCATCTTAACCTCCCAAAAAAAACACTGGCTCAAAAAAAAGGCGAAACAAATCAAGAAAATGATCGCTAAAAATCGGAAAAGTTCCGAAAATACCGAAGGTCCCAATAAAAATCCCAAATGACGCCGAAAAACTTAGCGCGAAAAATCCTGAAAACTCCTAAAAGATTTTCTATGGTATTGAGAAAAAATCAAGAAACTAAATACGAATCCAATAAAGCACAAAAACTTTTGGAGCATAAAGACAGCAACCTGCACAATGCAGAAAAAAATACCGAAGAAATCTCCAAAAACTGCAAAACATTTTTATTATTATTACCTGCTCAAAAAATCTCGCGAAGACTTAGCTTTTTAATAGAATATTAATATTTAGTTTTAAAAGCCATGAGCAAACTACATTACACAAAGAGAAAGGTTTCTAATTGTGTCTTTGAAAACTCGTTACGATAAATTTCTCACTGACTTTTTGATGTCAAAATCCAAAAATAATCTTTATTCAAAGTCTCTGGTTGTGAAAAAAAACTTACTTTATACTTAAGCGCATTGTTTGGCTCCACAGGCTCCTTAATAAAAAGAGTCAAAAAAAAAGCAAAACCCTTGTATACGTACTCATACTTATATTTACAAACATTTATGACTATACTTAAGCAATAATGATGACAAACTTACCGCAAATATGAGGCGACGCGTCAAAAAGAAAAAACTTTTACCACTAAAGGCAATCAAATCGTGTATGATGATTTCATTTAAACGTTTCAGCTATGAAAATATGAGCAATAAATTTATAAATAAATAAAAGAGATGCGAAACGATTTTAGTTGAAGTTTCTTCAACAGAGGTTAACATAGCAAACAAATAAAAAAACAACGAAATTGAAAGGCAATTGGTTAAACAAATAAAATTGCACAAACTCAAAGGATAGGTTTGATGCAAATATGGGAATTTATCCATTTACTTGTAGATGTATGTATGTATATAGCATGTATGTAGGTATAGTACTAGTTATGTACTCACTTCTAGGTTCCAGAATTTCGTTGGTATCTCATACATGGTCGACATTATTTGATTAGCTTCGTTATGTACGGCGCCAGCCGACAACATCATTGTTGAAATGCGCACCAACACGAATAGTAATGAGAACCAAAAGTAAATTTCTTTCATAAAGTTTTCTCGAGTGCTATAGTCGCATATGGGTAAAATCATGAAAGAATACATGCATAAGTAAATATTATTATATTGTTAAGTGGAGCTCATAACACTGTGGTGACGCTAAAATGACAAAAAAAAACACCCAGATACGTAAACTTAATTTTACGTCGCAGATTACGGATATGGATACCGTTTTTCTTGATCAGGTCATTTTCTTAAGATTTTTTCATTTAAATTTTGCCAATGAAAAAAAATCAAATTTTAATATGGGAAAGGTTACTCATACGCCATGTACGGTTATTTACAAGTACAGCCATCTCCGACACAGCGTATACGTAACATTATGGCATGGTTTCGGATAACGGTATACAGATGCATAACCTATGACCGAAAATTAAGTTAACGTGTCTGGGCGTTTTTTTTTCTGAGTCAACTTGAGATTTTCTATACATTGTAATTAGCTTATGCCAAACGGTTGGAGAGTCCTAATCTTAAGTATATATAAATAGGCATTCATGTTTCCTTTACAACCCTTTTACGACTAAACTATACTTCCAAGGTATAAACAATTATATATCATTGGAAAAGTATTTTGATGCTGATGTCCAGGCAATTCATAAAATTTCAAGGTAGCGTAACATAAAGCGAAAAAATCAATTCAAAAGTGACATCAATACCAATGTCATACATGTACATGGTTGGGCCAGAAATGCCTCCTAAATGTACGCTTTAATATTCATACTGAATCATAGAAACGTGCTAAGCAGCAGTTTAGGAATAACAGCCAGTTTCACCAAACTATTTAAGTGGAAATTAACTTAAATTTAATTTTGTATTTAATTCTCATTTGAATAATTTCCAGTTTCAATAAACTATTTATTTAAGTGAGTAAAAAGTGGTTGTAAAACAGACTAGGCCAGCGAAAGTTTTCATTTGTACTGAGAGCTTTTGAAAGCTTTGGCACGCTGTGTTATAAAAGCAGGGCTGGTATACAAGTAAGCAGCGGATACACAATGATCAGGTGATTAAACGTGTAACACCTCTGAGTGTGGTTATTCTGATTTAATTTATGTTTAAGTGAAGAGCATAGGTCACTTAAATCAAAATTAAAATTGATCGGTGAAACCACAAATTCCCAAATTGAAGTAATTTTCACTTAAATAATTTGGTGAAACTGGCTGTTAGACTCAACCAAGGAAGAAGATAAAGTTGAGTATGTAGAATAAGATAGGGATAAATGCAGAGATTAAAATAAAAGTAAAGAAACCTACACATAAAGACAAAGAGGAAGGTAAATTTAAATACTTAAATAAAAAAAACAATACAGATAAAGATCTGAAGGAGTGATAAATATAAAAATGAAGAGATTAAAAATCGGCATAGACAAAGGTAGAGACAAAAAAGAGAAAAAGAGTAAGATAAAATTTAAGAATGACATGTTATGTTGTGTTGTGTTGTGTTGTGTTGTGTTGTGTTGTGTTGTGTTGTG